GGATTATAGCGCCTATGATCACCGGCTGCTTCGCGCGGAGTATCGACAAATGGTGGAGGGAGGGAGGGTCCGCAGAAGTGTACCTTCAGGGCAGACCGTACCGGATACCTGCTTTGTCCATTAGAATTTCGTTCTCTTCTCCCCCCCTTGAGGTCTGGCTGCTTGCTTCAATTTGGGTGGCGCAGCATCTGAAAGTTAGGCGAGAGGACTGACGGCGGACGGTTGGCGGAGACAGGTAGGAGTCCGAGGCCAGCGGGCTAGATGGATATAAATAAGCCGACAGCGCCGTTAGAAGGTCCCCAGTAGATCTCCTCCTTCACATTTTTCCTCCCAGCTCCTATAGTCCAGACCTTCCTCCTTAACAGTTTTCGTCTATAGGTCTTATATAACTACGATAGTAGTAGACTATATAACTTAAACGGCTATACTAACCTAAGACGTCTACTATAGCCCGGTCTCGGACGATGATTTAGACGATGATAAATTCCTACCTCTCGAAGTACTCAGTACAATTGCCGTTGAGCTAAGGAGCGACAAGGCTCTCAGGGGATTTCTTCAAGGCTTAGGCCCAGATCTGGGAGAGAAACCGTATAGGTTTGTGGCAGCCAGCCTCTTTGACCGTAACTAATGGAAGAAGGATCGCCGATACAACGGAATAAGGCGGTGGAAGGAGCCGCTTCCGGGCAGCCGGCGGACGGCGATGTTTCAACCACCCTCTTACCCGCCACGTATCACCGGCCCCGTCGGCGGCGACGGTCATCTCAGCTCAAAGAGGCCGCTCGGAGAGATCCTACGAAGGCACCGAGAGGCTCAAGGAGGTCCAGACGGATCCAGCGTCGGGATGGCAGGTCACGCGGCTGTATTCGCCCCTGAGGGAGACGCCTAGCTAGCCTAATGCCGCGCCACTTAGGGACAGAGGATCGGGAGTCAATTAGGCAGCTCAAATAGCCAATGTCACGTCTTTCCCACAGTGGTTCGTTATCTTGCAATATTTTGTCATCGCGCCTTGTCTACGTGTAGTACAGCGATTTCGATTTGAGACGTGGAATCTGTCCGGCTTTAGAAGACTATTTAATCTGTCTGGGTCCCCCTTCGTCTGGGTTCCTGGTTTATTTCTTTTCCATGCAGGATTGAATAACCACTTTAGCACTAACGTTAGCGCACTCACTGCAATGCTTTTATTGGCTATAAGTGGCTCACAGAGGTCTTTGGGAAACACACACGGCATCGTACAACCGGCACATACCGGCTACTTCTCCTTGACGGTCATGGTAGCCATTTGACACCCGAATTCGACGATTTCTGCCGTAGCAACCAGATCGTCTGGCTTTGCCCACCGCCACATTCAACGCATCTTACACAAGTCCTCGATGTAGGATGCTTTTCGCCGCTCAAAACGACGCATGGCCGGCTCGTGTTCGAGAAGGCCCAGCTCGAGGTTCATCATATCGACAAAGTTGACTTCCTCGAGCTCTACCTCCAAGCTAGGATTCAGACCATCAACGAGAAAACGATCAGAGCTGCCTTCCGGGCCGTTTGAATCGTCCCTTTCGACCCACAACAGGTGCTTTCCCAACGCCTCATAACATCCTGGAACTCGAATCTCGGGCTCAGGCCTTTCAGAAGCATCGAGCGGGCTTACCGCAAAATAAGACTAGCCTGACCGACGAAGCATTCCGTTGTATAGTTAAAAGCGCCCAACTAGCGTTGCATAGCGCTACCGCAGGGCCCGACGAGTAAGGTTCCCAAACGGGAGCCGGTTTCCGTTTTGGGGATCGCACCATAGGCCAATCCTCGAACATCCTAGAACACAAATACCATGTGCAACCCGATCGATTCGAGAAACGACAACCACACGTTGTACCATCGTGGTGGAATCCACCATTGTCCGCATCAACCAGTCCGCCAAGGACGCTGCTGTGACGAATCTGTAAGCCCAACTACTCTGAGAGGGTTCACCTGAGGTATCATCGACTGTTAGATAGTTAGATTCGGCAACGTTAGGTCAAAATGTCTACAACAAGATGCACAAGCAAGTGTTTACATAGTAGGTGCCAGGTACTGATTGCATTGACTACTGGGGACTCCCAGAGCCCTCTAGAACGAGTGACTATATACCACGATTCATAGTGCTCTGTGTGCTCTGTTCCTCCTTCACAGAGCACCCTGATCATTCCTCCCTGAGCCGTGATTAGTTCTTGCTAGACATGTGCTCTATGTGCTCCGTTGTCCGACTCACAGACCATTCAGATCTCTAAGAGATAATTAACCCACTGTCAGGGAGGGATCACGTCGAAATAACCCCAGTTTGGTCGTCGCTGATACCAGTAGCAGAGCTCGCCACGCAGATCGGCGCAGTATTTGGTCTCCAGATGTTGGCAATCTCCCTTGCCACTTCGTCGCTCACATCGGTCTACTTCTCGCCGTCGGTATCGTCTTGGTGTCTCGCTAACATGGTGATATCGAAGCAGTGCTTTACCCATACGCCACTCGAAATATTTGTCGTATGGTCGATGCCGACAGATGAGGACGTTGACCAAAAGATGCGTGACAAGACAACTTCGCCGACGCTCAACACCTGATATGGGGATCACGGATGTATTCTGGTTTGAGGGCGAGGGCTTCCGGCCAGACGAACTGCTTTGTCGTCAGGTTTCGAAGGATCCACGGTTGGTCACGGGGCGTGTAGGTCGACATTGTGACGACGAGCTCCGAACATGTGGCCTGAAATTCTGAATCCTCTTGTTTGGTCCGGCCTCTGCAATGCGAGTATAGACGCCGCGACTCGGCGCCCAAATCAGGGGCTTCTTCGACAACTGAAACGCTAGGAGAGGTGAAGTGGCGAAGCGAAAATGGCTCTTTACACAGCACATATTCGAGATGGTCGTCGTCGGGAACCCATAGGTCAGCCTTGCGTTGCTGGAACGTATCCAGCTCTTCGGCTGAGAACAGGCCACGAGGCGTCTTCGCCCACGCAGACGATGTTCTCACCGGCCCACCGGCCTAGGAACGACATGCAATAGGCGTGGACGTAATCTGGAGCGAAGGTCCAGAAGTATCGACTCGCAAGAACGAGGCAGACGACGTCCTCGATGAACTCGATGTGATCAAAGACAAGCTGATGAATTTCTGGGGGAAGATCGGAAAATGCGAGAGCATCATTGCCACCTTGGGTTTTGGCCCGCTTGTGGTAGCGTGGGGAGCCGGGCGGCCCTTCGCCGTCGGCTTTGCGCTTCACTTGTCCGTCCCCGCGGGTCTCCTAGAGCAAGTCTCGTGACTTGCTAGAGGCAGAGGCCGTTTCGGTGGTGTAACGGCCGTTTCGGGACCGTGCCGGTGTAGATGAGGAACTCTGCGGGCGAACAGGGACGACGAGGAGGCGTACGAGCATGTCGGCTGACCCGCCGAAGAGCAGATCTCGGGGGGTGGGGGGGCGGCCCTGAGGGAGGGCCATCTGGGCTCGGGGAGCCGCGATTCGGAAGGTTTGCACCATCCAAAAAGATTATATAGCAAGTGATCATAGATGTGCTCGTCCGAGGAGCCCATACATACAGGTCATCAAAGCGTGGCTACCAGGCATTCCGTCAATGGCATGACTTGATAGACTCGAGATTTCCCCGCCGCTGACCTGGCTTTTACGTCCGTGTGAGACGTAGCCACCGATACTACCTGCGATACTATCCTCTTCACAATGCCTCGAACTCTTCCCACGTGATCACCCTCACAAAATCGCCAAAGGCTTCAATCTTGTCCGCTAGGCTCTCCTTGAATAGCTCAACTTGCTTATCCCTCCTCTCCCCAGCTGTGAGAATTGCTAGACCTGCTGGCAACGTCGTTGGAAAGTCGACCACAAATGACCCTTTCAAGTACACGTTAGTCTGTCTCGGTGGCTAGAACAGGAGTTAGTCGATATCTTACTTAGGGTCATGAAGACGCCTGACTTACGCCTTTGAGTGCAACTTCCTCTAAACCGTGTTGCTGAACAAGAAGTGCGAGCGCGATGGGACTGAATGATTCGACATTGTAATCCTCCTCTCTCGAGCCCCTTCTTGTGCGCTTTTTGGGTAGAACAATTCTGAGTCCCTTGACTGCAATCTCAGTCTGTGTCAGAGCTAATGTTAGTTTTTGGTGGTCAGAAACCTTGGAGCTACGTTCATTTCCGAGAGAAACCTTATATCCTCCTGTGTTCAATTTCTGAACGACCCGATCGATGAAGTTGTCGAAATAGCCTTGTGCAAGCACGACCCCGAATTCCTTGCCTGTCCATTTCCATAATCTCATTAGCTCAATTCAGATCAAACGTTGAAAGGATCCTTAAATATTGCCAACTTACTGCGGTCAACATCTGTTTCTGGCATCGTCTCCCACTTGTACTTGATGAATGCCTTGGCTGCCTCTGCAGCCCTACAAAGTGCCGGTCTGTAGTGCTTGTCATGGCCCAGTCCTTTATTATGATCTCCCATATCCGACACGCCTTTGATGACACCAAGTGATTTCACGCCTGTGCATTCACAAGCCTGCAAAAATGCGCTCGCCTCCATGTCCAGAGCAGCTACATCCCGAAGCGCCTGCATGTAAAGATCTCAGCTAGGTATTCGGTTGGAATAGAGAGAGTACTCACAGTATTTCTAACTCGATCGAAGATGAAAGAGGCATCCATCCGAACTGCACAACCAGAGACAAAATCGCCATATTTGTACCGAGGCTGCTCCGCCTGGCGGATAAATCCATCCATTGAAGCACCCTTCACTTCTGAGACCTTCACTTCAGGCATGAAGACTAACTTGTCGTCTTTCATAGCCCACTTCCCTTCTTCATAATTCAGCGCTCGCTCTCCGAAAATGACGTCTTCGACACTAACAGAAATTGTTAGTTCCCGACTCAACTGTGCATATCGGACATACGCACGCAATGTTCTGATCAGAGATAGCGGCACAGACACCGACATGAATGGCGAACTCGGGTTTGAGAATCGAAAACAATGTAGCTGATTCCATCGCGAAAGTCTGGATTCCTTGCCGTGAGGTGTTGGTCACATAATATGAGACTTTAGAACCGTCCTTCAGCTCGAACTCTCCAACATGAAAGTCGTGTCTTTCGGGGATGCCATCGACGTGGTCACCGGAAATCTTGGTCCCCAAACCCAGGTGGTAACTTTCCACCAGGGTATTTGCTTCTCTAGGTTTAGCACATATTATGCACAGCCGACACGCCCTGAGCATCTCCAAATTTTTGGCCCTGAAGTCCTTAGCCATTGCTTGACGAACGGTCGTTCAACTAATGTGTAGCACGGAGAAGTATATGTAGGATGAAAAACCTCAAGCCTCAAAATGAGTGGTTAAGGGAGGAAGAAGTTAGGAGTTTAAGGATGAGGGCAAAGAGAAGATAATTTGAGATAGTTAACTCAAGATTTTATAGGCAACAAAGATCGATCGCACGGTCTTGGGCCTAGAACACTTGCACACACGCACGGTGACGCCCCGTTGCACCGGCCAGGGCTTACCCCTGATGGATTATGAAGGATATCAACACATGTCTCCGCAATCCGCGCTCCCGGACCCCCCAACAGGTATGGTGTGAGGATGTGCCCTTATGTAAATCGCCTAGGATAGGGTAGTTAAATATTCTCCAGGGCTACTCGTGCCACGCCCCACTTTTCTGGATCTCGCGGGCTCGCACCAGTCAAAGCTGGTGCTCACCACCAAAAAAGCCAGAAATTCGACGGTAACTATCTAGAATCTCCGTAACAAGCGCATCCCGTGAGCTGAATCAACGACCTCTGCAGGGGCCAGTCTCCCATTCATCCTCCACTTCCTGGCCTTTTTTGCAGCCTCTGCAAGGGTCCGTTTTATTGCATTATGTGCCTTCGTTTCCGCAGCCTCCACCAACCGCCTGGCCTTGACTAGGTCATCATCCTTCTTTTGCACTACCATCGCGCGTCCTTCGGCTACTGTCAGTACCCCCCCCCAACCCCCCCCCCGGACTTCAGGGGCATATTCTTGAAGTTCCGACGGGCTCTAGCCGTTGCCTCGGCAAGCTTAGTCCTCCCTAGGTCGCGTTTGGTCTGAACTAGCTCTGTAGCTGCAATCAACGATCCACGGATAAAGCGGCCTAAATCGTGAGCAAACTGGGGATCTAGACTATCATCTTCTGCTAGAGTAGTGCCTAGCCTATCAGCTACCCTGTTGATTTGCCGGAGGGTGATTGGTGTTGAGAAAGGCGAGGAATTGAGCTGAGTTGATGTCTGGAGGGGGGGGGAGGGAGTCCGAACTGCCTGGCGTGCCTGGACTGTCTGCAACACCAACTGCGGGTTCAATGGATGGATTCCTGTCTTCTGAAACGCAGAGAGTATTGTGGTGCGTTTAAATGCCTGTTTGCGAACGCTCTCGATGACGCTTAGGAACTCGATCTTCGTGATGTTGATCAAGCCATCGCGGACAAGCAGATCCAAGGCCTTGGCATGGTAGTGCTTTAACGGCTGGAATACGACGATATTTAGAGGCTAAAGAAGGTGGGTAAGACGGGGTAGAAGACCGAATGGGATGATGTCGTGTTCCTGGCAATACTGGATGAATTAGTAGGTATGGTAAGAGCCGTGGCCATCAACGATCAGGAGGCGATATTTGCTGACTGCTGACTTCTTTGAATGGCGATCAAAGTACTGGAGCCAGTCCAAACCAACCGAGTCGTTTAAGTAGCCCGTTGGAGTAAGAGTAATAGCCATATCGGGGTCCAATTCGGCTTGTTGATACCAAGGAGCAAGATAGAGCTGCCCAGACAAGATCAAGAAGCTAGGAATGACCAGCCCTCCTGCTGAGATAGCCTCGATGGTAGTTGCTAACTCTCTGTTCTCAGGGATCCCGAAATAATGCGCGCGTTTGCGTTTGGTAACGATGAGCTGGTCCTTTCTAACCCCAATGCGAAACCCCGTCTCGTCCATATTCCAGATATCTGATAGAGGGATGCCATTATCAACGATGACCTTTTGGAGCTTCTGGAAGTACTCGGCAATACGGATTGGATCTTCAGCATCCTGGCGCTCGGCTTAGAGCCTCCTTTGCATGCGCTTATGGTATTTGTGGCGTCGGATGAAGCGGGAGGTCCAGTTTGGTCCAACGACAGGAGGATTGTCCTTTTCTTCGCGGCTGCAGCGTTCGGAAAGGATGTGGTTTGCCGCGTCGGTAATAAGCTAGTACGGAGTGGATGCCTTTTTTTTCATCATCCGCATCTAACAATCATGCAAGTGGTTCAGTCGTCAGATTTCACATGGGATTTCAACCTCTATTACACTGCAACTGCTTGAGCTCAATGCCGCCACCTTGTGAGCCTGCCTGATGACGATGAAGCCTCTCATTGTCCGCAGCTATGGTGCTACGTGCATCATGACAACGCAAGCTCTCAAAAGTCTCTAGAGGCCACAAGTTTGGACCAATATGCTCAATAGGTTCAGATGAATATGACGTATTTTGGAAAGAGCCTGTGTAGACGGACGGAACAGTTTTATAGAGACCCCGGCAGGAAGCACTGAACTCGACTTGGAGAACCTAGCCGGTCGTCCTGAGATTGCATATCCATTTGCTCGTCACAAATATCTTCCAATAGGGTAAAGCTCTCCAGTACGGAGCCGTCCGACCTACAGGCAGTGAATAAACTGGCAGGAAAGCTCATCTTGCGGCGTTGACGAGGTGACAGGCGAATGACGTCTTCTCCCCCCGCCTGCTTTCCCTTGTTGCCTCCCGGGTGGTTAGTAGGGATCCTCGTCATCCATCTCCATGCTGTTGGATCGCAAAGACGAACAAGGAGGACGTTAAGATTTCCCTGGACTCGGGGGCAAAAATGATATGCTCCGAGCGCACCGAGACGTCATGCAATGACCTGCATCTAAAGAGGAGCTCGATCTGTGGAGGCTGAACGGGATTTTCGGCCGGCTGTGGTTCGCGGGTCTATTTTATTCGTTGTGTAGGTCAGCGGGTCCGAGCACTCCAGGCAGCCCCGCCTCTGGCCTGCGTTCGACATGCAGGGTTTTCCCTCTTCCACGAGATACGGAGTAGTTAGACATCGAATATCACCACTTCGTTTGCTCTCGGTTGCTCAGCGCGTACCTCGCAACATTCATTGACTGGCCAGTGGGCTACTGAACCAGTCGGTTTCCGATCGGGGCCTAATAAGGTTGTGTTGCGGGTTGGCCTGTGTGTACGAGGTACGCGCTGAGCAACCGAGAGCAAACGAAGTGGTGATATTCGATGTCTAACTACTCCGTATCTCGTGGAAGAGGGAAAACCCTGCATGTCGAACGCAGGCCAGAGGCGGGGCTGCCTGGAGTGCTCGGACCAAGTGGCCGACACAACAGTGAACACGCAACGAAGTGGGTTTGCCAAGATGTACATCTGTAGAGAGTGTGGGAGCCACAGCTGCATGTATTGCTGTGTAACTGCTAACTGCCGACTACCGGTACCTCTAGGTAGGGGAAGGAAGACTACGTACCCATGGATACGGCGACGTCGACATCTGCTTAAAAACAGCACTCGGTAGCAAGCAACTGCTACGCTTGACGAGCGTAGCATACGTCCCGGAGCTCGCCACCAACGTTGCCTCGCTCAGGCGGCTCCGAGAGTAGGGCATTCAATGGGACATACGCCCTCGAACAACACTGCTCAGAAACCCGGACGGTACTGTACTCGGAATTGTAGAAGATCGACATGATCAGTTCGTGCTCGAATACATCCCCGAGGACCTCGACCACGTAGCATTCTTCACCCGCCGCAACAAGTTCAATTCGTGGACCCAGAGGCGCCCACGCAAGGCAGAGGCGTATCTCTAGCACCTACGCCTCGGTTACCCTAGCCCGGATGCTCTCGAGCGTCTAGTCAACAGCACGCAAGGCGTTAGGATCAAAGGAATCACCACTACCGAATGCGACTCGTGCGTAATGGGCAAGATGCACCGCCAAGAGCGACGCGCGCCACGGAGTCTCGAAGATTTCCCGCCTAGGAGAGAAGCTCACCCTTGATTTCCACAAGTTCGAACCGGATAAAGTAGGTTACAATACGCTTTTGCTGCTCATCGACCGGGTCTCGGGTTACATGTGGGATTTTTACATGTAGGATCCAACCACTAATGCAGTCATCACTGCACTCCACGAGCTCATTGGCATCCTCGAGCGCCAGTACGAGGTTAAGGTAAAAGCCATCGAGAGTGACAACGAGATCATTTCGAGGCTCCTAGGTGTAAAGAGCTACTTGGATAACAGGCACATTCGTACCGAACCGTCACTAGGAGACACGCAAGCGCTCAATGGCGCCGCCGAGCGATACTAGAGGATGGTAAAGGAGTAGATCATCGCAATGCGCGATAGCTCGAAGCTCCTAAGCGACCTCTGGAGAGAGATTAGCAAAACCTGCGTTTATCTACTCAACCGCACGTCAAAACGCCGTCTTGGATGGAAAACGCCGTACGAGATCTTCTACTCAAAGGGAGATGCGCGCCGAAAGCCGGATTTGACCAACTTGCGAGCGTACAGCTGCAAAGCGTATACGATAACAACCACGGCAATGCGTAGACAATAGCGTCTCAAACGTTTTAGCCCGAAAGCTTAGATCGGATACTTAGTCGGTTACACCTCTTCGAACACGTACCGAATCTAGAATCTAGCACTCAACAAAGTCGTTATCATGCGCGACGTGATATTCGACGAGAACAAAAGATTTAGTGGGGCGCTCGAGGAGCTCCGAGATGATATCCGAGAACTTGATCTAGATGAGTTGTCCACCCTTTTACACGAATATGCCCTCTTAGAAGAACGAGACGAGCAGGTTAACCTAGCGCTCGCACCTTGGGGGGTGGAGGGAGCCCTCCTAGACTTAGAAGAAGAGATCCAAGATACCATCATCGTTGGCACAACCACTGGCCTACAAACCGGCCACGCAGTGGAACTAACCGTTGATACCGGCTACTCTGGCCCGCAAACCGGCTACGTAGTGGAACCAACCTCTCACACAGGCACAGCCTCTCGCTCGCAAACTGGCCAAGCTGTAAAACCAACCTCTCGCAACTCTAAATCTATCCGCCAAGTTGAGGGAGCCTCTCGCCTGTAAACCGGCCAAGCTCCGAGAAGCTCTAGCGATGACGATCGCCATATTACCCATCCTACAGAAGCTCGCACAGCTTCAGAACAAATGATGGCTCCTATAGCTAGCCAACGGCCAGCGAGTCAGTTGGGAAG